GTCACTGTGATGTGTACTCCTCTGCCACGGCATTCTGATACTTTCTCTGTGTACTGCATTTCTCTAAAGATGCTTATATCTGACATGTCACTGTAATAATGCTTCTTTGTGTTACATTTTCGCATAGCTACATCCTGCCTGATGCGACAATATGAAGATGTTCGTGTGTGTGGCATTTTTCTCAGGATGATATTTCCTGCTGCATTTTTCTGAAGTTCTTTTTTATGGTGCGTCATCGTGAGGTATCTTCCTTGTGGGCCATCTTTCTTCTAATCATTCATTTGGCCGCGTTGTACTTTTAATATATCATTTCGCTTGCCATTCTTATAGAAATTGTTCCCTTTGTCGTGTCACTATTAAGATTCTTGTGTGTGTTTCATCTGCTTTCTGACGATAGTCCTGTCCTGGGGGGTTGTGATGAAGTCTCCCGGGCCATGTCATTATGAGAATTTTTGTTGGTGTGGCATCTTTACGAAGATTCCTCTTACTGCGTTATATGGATGATATTTCTCTGTTTGACTCCTTTCTAAAGATGCTCTCTCCTTTTATCATGTTATTGCGACGGAATTCCCTCGCGAGGCATTCTTCTTATGAAGATATTTCCGTTCCACGGCATTCCTTATGATTCTATTTTCTGGCAGCAGCTCGAATATATTTTTTTTGTGTCATTTCTTCTATATTGATGCTTCTTCCTCCCCCGGCATCGTGAAGATGCTTCTTTGTTTGTCATGTTTTCTACGACGATTTACTCTTTTTGCGGCATATTGAAGATTTCCTCTCGTGTGTGATTTCCTCTATGAATATGCTCGTTTTCGGCGGCATGGTTAAGGTGCTGTTGCGTTGTTTATTGTTTTTATGAAGATTATTTTTTCTCCTGGTATCTCCCCGACGTTTCTCGGTTTCGTCCTCTTGAAGATGTTCTTTTGCATCGATTATTGTGAAAATGTTTCTTCACGTTACATCATTGTGAAGATGCCTTCCTGCCTGCATCCTTCCGGATAGGTTTTATTGTATGTCATTGTTTTTTATTAGAGATTTTCCTTCCTTAATATTCTGATGGACCTATTTTTTTCTTCTCTATGTGAAGCCATTATGAAGATATTTCCTTCCTTTGGCTATTTATGAGGAGGGCCACATATGTGAATTGTAAATATCATAAGCATACCGAGGTGGTAGGATTACTAAACAGGAATAATCTATCGATGTGTTAGAGGGCACTCTTATCCCTGGTGTCTTACTTCTTTAAAAGGCCTGATTTGCATGGAATACTACTATGTGAAAGATAGTGTTACGTGGATAATACTGTTAATTGGACAGCAAAATTGCGTCAAGGGTAAGGATTTCCTGGAGGGCTACTGTAGCAAGCCTATTGAGGTGTCCGTAGTACTCATATCCCGAGAGCACTGACATTTTCATCGTCTCGTTATTTCAGGAGCACAAAGCGGATTCGGGTACTCTTTGCAAAATCTCGTTGTGCGTCCTTGACGCTGGTGTTGTGCCTCGTTGCATGTGTACTATTGTTATATGGAGTGCATGAGTATTCTACAGCAGTGGCTTAAAACGTACTAAGTTGTTTGGATTCTCAATGGTCCACAATCCGGAGATTTTCATGGTATTGTCATATGGAACTCCTAGTAGCATAACTATTTGCATGAGCTCTAGTGCCATCATACTAAGCTGCACCTTTATGTGTTGTGCCATAATGTATATCATTATATTCAAAATAATATGTTATAGAACAGTGCGTGTGTGCTAAGAGTACCGTCATGTTAAGAATATTGTTATGTGGAAAATACTTCTATCTCAATGGCACAGTATCTTAGTGAGTATTCATGATTGGAAATGCTAATATGAAGAAAGTACACACGAATGTATAGTACTGATATCTGGAGTTAGGTAACGTGCTTGGTACACCGCTATCTGGAGAATACCGAAGGTGAAACAATCGTATTAAGTGATGTATTCGGGTGATAGGATATATTTCGCGTAACCTCTTACCATTTGGGGAAAGCTATCTTATGAAGACTGAACAAGCTCCGGTATTATTTTTATTTGAAGGAGACTCCTGTAGCCAGTGTGTTAATGTGTTAAGTGCACTGTTAATTGAAGAAAACTACTGTTATGTGGGGGGTCATGTACCTCTATGAATAAGCCTATCCTTGGATTATCATTATGTCAAGTGTCTTCATGTAAGTCTAATGACTTCATTAGAACACAGGCGGGATTGCGAAGCTCCTAAGCCCCATCTGTAATACTATTACTTAAAGAGTATTGCTACTCCAGGAGTATGATGATCTTAAGAGTCCATTTTTGCCTCACGTATTGAGGTTCTAGGAGTGAAGTTGTGCTATTGATAGAATCGTCTCTGCCTTTATCTAGCTTCATTAGTGGGACTATATCTATGGTACTATTTGTTGGAAAGTATGCGTGTACAGCTAATACCGTTATGTTAACAATACTCTTGTTTGGATTATACCTTCTTTTGAGGTATACCGTTTTATGGGAAGTATCGATGACTCGAAGTATCATTCTGTGAAAAGTACATAGGTATATGCAGTACTCATATCTGCATAGTGTTAAGATGCCTGGTACTTTACTATTCGAAGAGTGACAAGCTTACAACCGTACTGTCAAGTAATGTATGTTAAAGTCGATAAGATATATGGCATAATGTTTTATCATATGCAGAGTTACACCATACAGGGTACGAGCGTTTCCGTAATAGTTTTATATGAGGGATACTATGGTGTAAACCGCATAGACCTCTTCAGTCCTCCATCTTCTGAAGATTATTACGGCTATGTACCGAATGCTGTGCCTAGATGAGCATTCCTGTCTTTGAAGTGCCATTATGTAAAGGGTGTCTATTTAAGTTTAATGGTCCAATTATATGAAGTAAGGGATTGTACAACCTTTAAGAAATCTCGGCAACACCATGATTCCGATAATACTATGGTGCCAATAGTACTATGATTTGAACAGTACATCTGTGTGTGAAATATTGATATTTCACGAGTGTCATTTAGAGAGCAATATTCCGTCGACTGTATGGATATTCCAGAAGAACTATTGCGTGCATACAGCGGATGGGTATGGATTTTCATGGGTGATGATTACAGAAGTTGCCGTAGTACTCTTATATCAATGTACTAATGGTTGCCCTATCGTAATATCTGTTCTGCATTGTTATCTGAATAAACTACATCCGTGGGAGGTATGCATAATCTGGACCAGTATTTTGTGAGTATACTCATATGTGTGTAGTACCGTCAATTAGGGAGCACGGTTGTTCGTAGATTATGAATGTGCCTGAAGCACGATTATGTGAAGGGTCTAAACCTCGACGCCCAGCATTTCCGACTTTATTATACAAAGAACACTACTGTTACGGACTGTTAGCAGTCCCTGAAGTATTATTATATTAAGAGTGGTGCATTACATGATGCTTCATGACTTTAGCAGCACCGCTCTACCAAGTGTAAAGATATCCTTAGATTACGGCTGTGTCAGAAGAACTTAGCTTCAAGTGTTGATATTCCCATAGTACCGTCAGGTAAATACTCCACTTGTTTGCAAAGTGTTGATATGGAAGAAATAGCATCGGGGCGATAAGTATTATTGTGCCGGTAGTACTATGGCTTAAATAGTACTGACGTGCAAGGCGTATCATTATTTCTACCGTGTATGGGGGCCCCCGGAATACTATCATATGAGACACATAATTGGATGAAGTTCACAGATATACAGGCTGTAGTATTATATAAGGAGCACTACTGGGTAAGTTGTTGGAGCATGTGGAAAGTCTCTAGGACTATGAAGTATACAGCTGTACCAACAGTAGTATTATATGAGCGTTCAGGAATTATACTACTATTGTAAGGACTAAATGCATTGAACCCTGCACACCCCCAAGGACACATTTATTTGAGGAGCAACAATATACTTGTGGTGATTCAGTGTTGATGGCGCCAATAGATGAAGAGTATCATTCTGTCGAATCCACAAACATTCTGAATGCAGTACTATAAGAGATGTAAAGATATCCTGGGGGATTGTTATCTGAAAAGTCTTTTGGTGGCTGGAGTGCCCTTATTTGAGGAGTACATCTGCTTAGAGGGTAAGGATATCCTTCAGTGTTACTGTATATGGGACGTACCCAGGTGTTTGTAGTACTTATATTTCGAGAGTAGTAACACCCTTATTCTATTCGTATTTGAACACAGAATAAACCCTTGGGTTACCATTATTTGTACAATACTGGTGTGGATTTCCATTCCCAGTAATGTGCGCGGATATAAGTGTACTACTATTATGTGACAAGTATAGTGGTGCATGTACTAGTGTATGTGAAGAATTCAAGGTTTATGCCTTCACTATATGAATAGGAGTGTTGTGTGAACTGCATGGATATTCTAGTATAACTATTGTCTGGAAACTGTGGATGTCTCTGGATCATCGACGATCAGGTGTCTGGAGATCCGCATACTACTATTCTATAAGGGTACCAGTAGTGGAGTTATATCGATCACCTGGAGTGCTATTATACAGACGAAAGCATGATGTGTCAAATGTTTTGCCTTTATGAGT